CAGCCACTCGGGTTCCCAGGAGTTTTCCTGTGATGGGTTGGTTAGTAGGGTCACATGAATGCCTCGCTATGAAACGACTTGAGTCCAGTGAGATCTCATTAGGATTAATATTTCAGGGATCCTTAGTATTTTGATTTGTTTTCTGAGATTGGATTTTATTTTATCTGACATTTCAGTTCATCTAAATCTTGTGTTCTGTACATGTGTTGTTTGACTGTACCATCGACTGTTATGGAAGTTCAGCGTTGTATGTCTCTCTACACTGTGGTGCACTTAACTTGTGGATTTTTTATACTAAAAATGTAGAATAAAGACTATTTTGAAGATTTGAATAAAGTGATGAAGTTGCATTACACTGTACTCTAGGCTTTCTTTACTCACATGTGCTCACATGTTCACACGTCAGGTCTGTTAGAGCTCACTAGAATGAGTGCTCCTGTAGCTGCTGCTTCAGCGATGTCTGTAATAAACGTAGACATGCAAAGTGAGGTTCTAGGTTTGGCTGTTCTCAGGAGCTTTCACTAGAGCTGATTCTGGGATTCAAAACACAATCTTAGAAATGAAAGAGCAATGCTGGTCATGTCGGCACTGGACTTTAATCCCAACACGGGGAAGGCAGAGCCTGGTGGCCCCTGTGAGCTCAAAAGCCAGTCTACACAGTGAGTTCTCACTCGTGCTAAGGAAAATACCTTAGTGTAGTAGTCTGTACACTTCAGGGTAATTTCTAGATGGTTGTTCCAAAGTTCTATGTGGAGAAATACTGAAAACAAGCAGGCCAATCCCATTCCTCTAGAGACTGGAAAGAGGTCTGCCAAAAGTTTATGGCAGCATGGGGTAACTAGCAAGATGTTTCAAACCCACAAAACAAAAGCCAACCAGCCTCTGCACTGCAGCTTCTGGAATCTACACTGATAATATCGGGTAAGAGTTTTAATACCAGAGTATCCAAGGGGCTTGGGTGGAAAAGAGCTTGGCCTGGCAGTGGTGGCACACACCTTTAATCCCAGCACTTGGGAGGCCAACCTGGTCTACACAGTGAGTTCTAAGAAAGCTAGAGTACACAGAGAAACCCTGTCTTGAGAAAGAAAGAAAAGAGCTTTACTGGTAGGAAATCTAGGTGGCCAGGTTTTTTCTGACTCCTTCTGTATATAAATAGGGATCTGGGAAATTGTGGCCTTTGCCAGGATAAAGGTCAAACCCACTTAGTTCTCATGTGTTTCTGATGGGACAGTTGCTGCTTCTCTGGAACACTCTTGAGATAGTTCTAGGAACTTCAGAACATCCCTAAGAGTTCTTAAAGAGAGATAGCACACGCAGAAGAGTTAAAGAAGCAGAGAAAACGCTATAAAAAGTTTAAGGAAAAAGTCAAAATTTAGTTTTTATAAATGAAAATCTGATTTTTATAATAAATTTAATCTGGATAAAAACAGTGTAAATTTGAGGCTATTGGGGGAAATGGTAAGGTTCAGATTAAAGGAAGTAACACTCAGAGGCCTGTCCCTCCTGGCCTGATCCGTCTTGTGGTATCTAGCCTCCAAGAAGCTACACTGGGGCTAGGCAAGTAGGGAGGGGACAAAGTGGACCAGCCCGTGGCCACCTTCCACATCTCCCACTTCCAACTCAGGCATGGCCCCATATTGTTGGCCAGTTGTGAGCACTATCCTTTCCAAGGCCTGGCTATATAGTTGTCATAAGCAGCTTTCTTCGTGTCCCTGGACGATGGAGTCAGTGAGGATGTTATTGGAGACTGTGTCCTGGGAGGTGAGTGGATTCGCCATCCCACTCAGTGCCACTCACTGCCTTCAGAGCAAACATTCCCTAATTATAGAGTCAGTGTGTTAGCACTGGAGCCAAGACTCGGCCCCTCCAGTCTGGGGATCATTAGATGAAGTACTCTTCCTTCTCTCTGTCCTTGGCTGAGTCACTCTCCATCTGGAGGATGGTGCTGGGCTCGCCTTCTGCGGGCTCATAGGTGACGTAGCTGCCTTTGTTCTTGTACAGGTAAAAGAAGATCAAAGTCACCACCGAGAGCAGGGTAAGGAACACCACAGTGATCACGACTGGGAAAGGAGAGGGAGACATGTTTGAGTACTTTACTGGGCCAGTCAGGTCCTCTCAAACCCAGCTTCCCTATGACACAGCAGCCAGAGTTTCTTGGTATTTAGCTACCATACAGTTTAACTCCCTCTCAAACCAGTTCCTGATGATCATGCTAGAAACCAAGGGGGAAACAGCTGATGCCAACAGGAAGGGTGTTTTAATACATAGCTTCCCATGAGAGTTTCTTTTCCTCACCCACTCAACAAAACCACACATCTCCTCCTTCAAACCCACGCACTGCAGCTGAGTATCCACATGCGCCACAGCCTGTTCACGGCCACTCCCAACCTATCGTTTGTTGGTCATGTCTCTCCATCTTTCACAGCTCTGCATGTGTGAGACCTACATGCCAGAAGGAACCCAGTACTGGAGTTGGTCCCTTATGTGGCTTTTCCTGTATGAGGAAAATCTCACACTGGGTTCCAGGCCCAGAGGCCCCTTGGACTGGTACACTGGCTTTCTTACCTGCAATGAGCGCTGTGCTGGCCTCTTCGGCTTGTGGGGACAGGGTCTCATGGGCCTGAAGAACTGGCGTGGCCATCAGTTCTGGGAAGTTGGAGGGGGAAAAGGAAATGATGAGTCCTTTGTCCTTGCCATTCTGTCACTTCACCTTCCTGTTCAAAAGCTCAGTGGTTCAGAGCACTGTCTGCTCTTCTAGGGGTCCTAGATTTTATCCCCAGCAAGTCCTTGGTGGTTCACCATTATCTGTAACTCCAGGTCGAGAGGATCTGAACTTCCAGCCTCTGGGCACCAAGCAAGCACACATGTAGTACACAAACAAACACACAGACAAAACATTCATATACATAAAGATTAAAAAAAGTTTAACTAGTATCTACAGTAACTCCAAACAATAAACTGGAACAAAGATTAAAACAAACCATTTCCAAAAGACAACATTTTTATGAATTTTTCTCTAATACAGTGTTTAAAAATGGGGACTTGAGCTGGGCATAGTGGTGCACACCGTTAATCCCAGCACTTAGAGGCAGAAGTAGGTGTATCTCTGTGAGTTCGAGGCTAGCCTGGGCTACATAGTAAGTTCCAGAACAACCAGAGCTACACAGTAAGACCCTATCTTGAAAGAAGAAGAGAGAGAGAAAGAAAGGGGCTCTTGGTTGGGAGTGGTGGCACACACCTTTAATGCCAGTACTCAGGAGGCAGAGGCAGGCAGATTTCAGAGTTTAGGTCAGCCTGGTCTATACAGAAGTTCCAGGCCAATCTGGTCTACTGACTTAAGAAAAATAGGAGGGGGTTAGTTTTTGTTAGGTGTGGTGACATGTCTGTAATCCCAGCACTCAGGGCTGAGACAGACTGACTGTTCAAGGTCCCCTGTGCTATACATAGTCCCAGGGTTCTGTTCTCGTATTTGTTGAATAGGGTTTTGAGTTTGAACTGATTGATTTTCAAATGTGATCTGTCCTTTTCAAGCTACTCCCTTGGGAAAAACATCACCTAACCTCTGCCAGCATCAGTCACTTCAGATGCTAACAGTACAGTACCTAGTTTATAGGCTGTGACATAGAGACGCGAGGATCCGGCCTCAGTCACTTTGGATGTTAACGGCACAGTACCTAGTTTATAGGCTGTGACATAGAGACGCAAGGATCTGGC